GCTCAGCTTGAAGACTATCAACCTTTTCAAGTAAGATATGTTTCTCATCAAACAAAGATTGAAGCAAAGAGATCACTCGTGCATTCTCAGCTCTGAGCCCAACAATTTCGTTGAGAACAACACTGAGGGTAGACTCCAACTCATTGCTATTCGAATGCCCTTTTAGTTTGTTTTTCTGAGCTCCAGCCGACTCGCCAGGCAGCGGTTGTTGTTTTACTGGAACATTCTGATGGGCATCGAGAGCAGCAGAGACATCCACAGCCGACAAAGGCTTGGTCGCGGTGTGGGGTGGAGGCGGAGAGCGAAGTGAGTCCCGCCGAACTTTAGTACAAGATGAGCAGCAAAATGCACGATCGGTTTTATGCAAAAAATCAACATCGGCTTCCGATAAATTAACACACTTTAAATGAAACAATTCTTTACATTTAACGCACTGAATTTTCTGGCGACCACGGTCGACCTTTTGCTTACACGTGCAAGGCATGCTTTAAGTGTTCAAGTAAAATTACAATATCGTTTAACTTTCGCAAAAAAAACCATATACACGGCAATAANTCGACCTTTTGCTTACACGTGCAAGGCATGCTTTAAGTGTTCAAGTAAAATTACAATATCGTTTAACTTTCGAAAAAAAAACCATATACACGGCAATAATAGAGAGCTTAGCGTAGACACGTCCGAACGGCTCAGCGATATTATTACATAAAAGGTTTGGAAGTTCTCACTCCCACTACTCCTTTTTATGGAGTTTTCTTCTTTCCCTATGGCACTTGGCTAAGCGAGCGCTGCCTAGCCAGTCAGATATCGAGAGCCCTCTTGAACCATTAAGTTATATTAGAATTCCTATACATGTAAATATACTTGAATTATTATTTGAATTTACGCACTCATTCATACCTAATATTAATATTGCCATTGTATGCATTTATTCGCATAGCGTAATTAATTTAAAATATCTATTTGTATCACTGAATTAGTATACTTAAAATTCTGAACTATGTATAAACTTCACTAATGTTAAGAAATTTTAATAAGCGACATGGGTAGTTGGCAACACCAATGCTGATAAAGCAGTCATTCATTCTTTTTGACAGCTCAGAAAATTTTCACATCTGTCTCAAAGCGGTCACATACTTTTTGTGAAATAATCTATATATATCAAGTAATACACTCAGAAAAAGGTTTATGGCTCAGTTATGCATACTTGTCTTCACTTGACTTGACTTGAGAAGTGTCACATAATGATTCTGTTTAATGAATTTTCTGCAAAAGTGATTAGCCAACACCAAATCGAACATAACTTTACTTGCAAGTCTGTTGAATTTTGATTTTCTACGGAAAGTCCAAGTGACATTTAATATTTGTGATGAAACTTGCGTTTGTTTACTTGATTTAGACAATTCTCTTCACACACTTGACATTTAATTAAGCACAGACGCTTGGCGCTTTTTTGGATTTTGACAAAAAGTAAGTATTACTTGTTAAATAAATGTTAAATTTTCGTTTTTTAAATGATACTTTTGTCATTTTCAGAATGATTGACGAGGAGCGGTTGATTGACTTGGTGCGGGACAATGAAGTCCTGTACAATAAAACCTGCGTGGGCTACAGGTTGCCGGCAAAGAAGTTGGCGGCTTGGGCTGCAATATCGCGGGAGCTTGGCGCGACAGGTTTGTGTAAAGATCCTTAAATCCAAGTTGTATGACTAATATCCTTTTACGTTTTTAGAAGAGAAGTGTACCAAGCGCTGGATTTCACTACGTGAGCGATATACCCGCGAATTGCGGAAGCTTGACGCCCCGTCAGGAAGTGCGCCGGCTTCGCAGCCGACCTGGCACTTCTCAACCAATATGGCTTTCCTTAAGCCGTTCATAGCACCAAGACCGTAAGTAGTTTGGTTTCTTTTACTTTAGTATAGTTACTGATAGAATGCCCGATTTTCAGCACTCGATGCACTATAAATATTCTGGACACAAGCTATGGAAGCATGCTGTCTGAGCAATCTCCGTCATCGCCGCTTCTGTTTCCGTTGGCAGATGAGAACGAAGAAGGGTACCCTGAAAGGTATTCAGGCGATCCCGTGGCGTCGACGCCTAATATATCTAAAAAAAGAAAGCGGCGAGATCAGGGTGACGACGGCGAGTTTAGTGAAGTTTGCCAGCTGTTTAAAGAGGTGCAGAAGGACCGATTGGCGGAGAACAAAACTTTGCGTTCGTTTGGCGAGATGATTGTAGCATCTATTGGCGAGACGAATGAAAGGAAGCAGGCGAAAGCGATCCAAATAATCACAAATGCTGTGATGACATTAAAATTAGAGCCTGACGACTAATGTCAAATCATAATACAGTCTTTTTTGTACAATATTCTATAAAGCAAAACATACAAAGTTCATTCTACAACAAACATTATGAATATTGTACGAAAAAATACTATTTGCCCATTTTTGCTGGCTACTTTAATTTTTTTCGAACTGCTAACAAAGTAACCAAAACGTTTATCAACACGATTTTCACAATACTTTAAAGGTTATTGAAATGTTGTTAACATAATGATTTTAAATGCTTTACATTGTTATGTATGTAAATGAATTAGTAATTTATTTTCTTTAAAAAAAACGGTACCCGAGTAAAGTTAATTTGTAACGTTTATTGTTTTGTTTGTTATCCACAAAGTAATAGGAGTGCGATCTTTTGACCAGTTTTGACTATTTCTTTTTTGTTTATTTAATTCTTAGTATTTGTTTATAAAATTGTAGCGTGTTATACAACAAACACCATGCAAAGTCGCATTTAAAACTTTGTATACAAATTTTAAAAATTCTGCACAGTTTATACACCATCAGACTCGCAGTCATCTGAAGTATCCAAGCTCATATCAATATTTTCTGATGGAAATTCCGCATCCGGATTTACAACAGTTGATAATAATTTAATGGCATCAGGCGACAGTTTATGATTTTGTTTCGGTGGGTTTAAACCAGTGGCGGATCCAGCGGGGGGGGTTTTGGTGGTGTCAGTCAGTGGCGGCCCACAGCGTGTGTTTTAATATGGCGCATATGTATGTATAATATCCGTTTGATCCGCCACTGGTTTAAACGTAAACTTTAAATGACAGGGTCCGAGAATACAAGCAGCTGATATTTTTTAATATCCTTATTCCTTGACTCTTGGGCTACTTCGGAAAGTTGCCCAATTGGCAGGGGTGCCCATTCAATAATGAGAGGCCCATGGATGAGCACTCTAATATAGTAGTAATTTCTGACATCATTTAAATTCTAAAAACATCCAATCTTTAAACCATCAAAATCTTGACAGAAATAATTTTTTACATAATTTAAATCTTTGAAACACAAAAAAATTAAGAATCGCGTATAAAAACTGATGTCCAAACTACAGTGGCGGCTTGTGGCAGGTGGTTTTAACCTAGGTGGATGGGAAAAACTTCAATATATATGAAAAAGAAAATTAGACCGCCCATCTCGGCCACTCTCGTAACTATTTTCCTAATCCATCATAATGAGTAAAAAAAAAAACAATCCGTGAATATCTCAGGTTTTAGATGGCGTGACAATGAAAAAACATGTTTTACATACTCTAGATTACAATGACCGTGAGCGGATACTTGAAAACTGTTGGTTTTTTTTTTAAGGATAATACCACGATTTTAACAACGACGAAAACTCTAATTTACGAAAAGTTTAGAGCGTATTGCTAGCAAACAGTCACTTCGATCTCCTGTAACATTAAATGCCTTAAGATAATGGACTTGTTGTCTCATAACGATACGCAATAGAGCCCTCCTAACAATATAAGATGGTTATGCATACCAATGCACCAATTTTTTTTGGACTTTTGGCCAGGGTTTTCCAAAAATTGGCCACTGTGCATCGCGATGCAACGTCTGCAATTGGAAAATTTAGCCAAATACGTGTGTGCTCCAGTGTATAATATACTATTAAACTATGATCCTCGTACACCACTTTCTTATTTGTTCTTTAAAAGATTACATAGCGAAAATGAAGTAAGAAAAATGGCAAAAAAAAACTATATGCCAAACACGACATTTTGCATGTTTAAAACAAAGAAAAAATCCATAAGAATCAGAAGGATTCGATGGTTATTAAAAGGTTTCGTAATAGTTTTGCGTTATCGGATTTTCGGTTGTTTTTGAGCGCGCAGAGGAGTATTTGCATAGTAAAGCCGGTCAAAATTATTTGGTGTGTTTTTCTGTTAAGTAATAAAAATAAAATAATGTAAAAAAAATATTTTTTAAAAACAAGCTTT